CGCCTGGGCCTCCTGCGCGTCGTTCTTGGTCTCGTCCTCCGTGGTCTTACGCTTCTTCTGTGCCTGTCGTCTGAAACGGTCCGCCTGCTGCTTGAGCTCGCTGAACTTCCGAAACTGCCCTGCCGCTGCCTGCAGCAACTTGTCCAGCGCCTCCATGTCTGCCTTGAACTTGACCAGCTTGGCCTTGTCCTCCTCCTCCTACTCGTCCAGGTCATCGAAGAGGTCCCCAACCGCAGGTGCCTGCCAGTCCGCCTGCTGAGGCGGCTCGGGGTCCTGGCACACGGTCTCCGCCTGGTACGCCGCCAGCGCGCGCTTATGCTCCAGCACCGCGTCGGCTGCATCCTCGATGGCCTTCTGGTTCTTAGTGCGCAGCTGCAGGACGTGGTCCTCCGCCTCCTGCAGGGCCGCCGCGGAGCTGTCCACCTCCAGCTGGCAGCGGTTGAGCTTGTTGATCGCCTGCCGCAGCTCGAGCTCCTTGGACACTTCCTTCTTGGGCGCCGCCGCCGCCGCAGCCGCCTGCACCTGCGACTGCACCGCCTTGACGGGCCCCAGGTCCACCTGCGGCGCCATCTGCGCCGTGAGGGACTCGACGCGCTCCAGCATGCTGCTGAGCTCCGCCAGCGTGCCGTGGACCGCCGTCGGCTTGCGCCAGGGGGGCCCCTTGCCTGTGCTCTTGCCCTTGTCCGCAGCCGCCGTGCCTGGGGCCATTGACTTCCACCCCGGCATGACTGACTGGCACTTGTTGCACCACCCACCTGACCTCTCCAGCTTCCAGTCGTAGACCCAACCACCACAGGTCGCACAAATCGAGTAGGTCTGGCGCCCGCGCCCCATGGCCAGCGCAGGCTCGTGGTGTGTGCCTCCGACGCTCCGAGGTGGGGCGGACCACCTCGGTGCTCGCCCTGGGGCTGACCAGGGGAAGGAATGCAAACTGGCCGCGGACTAGCGGTATCCACTTGTTCCCCTGCGGAACAAAGCATCTTGAGCCAAAATGGCTACGGAGGAGGGGGAGGAGGAGGGAGGAGGAGGAGGAGAGAGGAGGAGGAGGAGGAGGAGAGGAGGAGGAGGAGGAGGAGGAGGACGAGGACGAGGACGAGGGGGGAGGAGAGCAGAACATAGCCCACAACTGCTCAAACCAGCCAAAACGTGGTCGGAGCGTCGTCCCCAGAGGCTCTGTGGACTCTTCTCGGAGATCCCTCCTGCAGGGGGGACGTGCCCGACTGAAGCCCAGCTGCCCAGCGCCCAGCTGCCCAACCCGTGAGACGCTGGAGCGCCCGTACGCCGCGTTCCCTCGCCGAGCTCCGTGGATCCCCGGCCGACCAAACGACGCGGTGTGCTTACAGACATCGATCCCCTCTTCCTCCTCCTCCTCCTCCTCCTCCTCCTCCTCATCCCCCCTCCTCCCTCCTCCTCCCTCCTCCTCCTCCTCCTCCTCTCCTCCTCCTCCTCCTCCTCTCCTCCTCCCCCCTCGTCCTCGTCCCCCCTCGTCCTCGTCCTCGTCTGGGTCCTCCTCCTCCTCCCTCCTCTTCTCCTCCTCCTCCTCCTCCTCCTCCTCCTCCTCCTCCTCCTCCTCCTCCTCCTCCTCCTCCTCCTCCTCCTCCTCCTCCTCTCCTCCTCCTCCTCCTCCTCCTCCTCCTCCTCCTCCTCCTCCTCCTCCTCCTCCTCCTCCTCCTCCTCATCCTCCTCGTCCTCCTCCTTTTCCTCCTCCTCCCCCTCCCCTCCCTCCCTCCTCCTCGTCCTCCTTTTCCTCCTCCTCCTCCTCCTCCTCCTCCTCCTCCGCCTCCTCCCCTGCCCCCGGGGGGGGGGGCTGCCTCGGCTCTCGGTGGGCGTCGCACCAAGAGGCTCTTGCTCCACGCGGGGGCATGGCGGCCCCAGACCCCGACTCTGTGGGGCTCTCGACTGGGCCAACGATGTTGGGCCCATCTCGTGGATGTACGACGGGGGGGCGTCCTCCCCTCGATAGGGGGAGGCGGAGGACGAGAAGGAGGAGGAGGAGGAGGAGGAGGAAGAGGAGCCCTCCTTAAGACAAGGATCGATTTCCTGGTTGTAAGTTCGAGAGCAGGGGTGCCCGCATCATGGAACATCCCGCCACTGGCACCTCCGTGCCGGAGGCACCCAACAATTCGCACATGCGTCCTTCCGTCGCGCTCCGTATCCAGATGCTCTTTGCAGGGGTCAGTGCTACTTTGGGCCCAGAGCCTTGAGACCCCCATGCCCCCTGAGGGGAGGTGGGCACGGCCCGCATGCTAAACGGCGCCAGGGTGTGGAGGAGTGGGTGAGACCTGCGGCGGTGGACACGAGCCCTGGGCCCCTGTCCCTGGCGATGGCGGCCGTCCCTCCCCCGTTGCTCCTTGCTATCTCTCTGCTACCTCTCTCTCTCTCTCTCTGCTGCGCTGTCCTCCCTCGTTTCTGGAGCTCGTCCGGAGCATTCAGGAATCTTCCCCAAACAGTGCTTGCGCTTGGGCGTTATTACTTTACATCTGTTTTTTGGAACTGGGGGGGGTGGCGGTCTTGCGGCTATGTTGTCGCCGTCGCCGCCCCGTCGCCGTTCCTTACCCACCTCGTCGCCGCCCGTCGTCTGGTCCGGTGTGGCGGTCTGGCGGCTATATTGTCGCCGTCGCCCAACGTCGCCGCCTCATCGCCGCTGGTCGTCTGGGTCTGACCGAAGGTCTGTCGGCTATGTTGCCGCCGTCGCCGCCATGTTGCCGCCTCTTCACCGCATTAATTGTGCACCATATCAATTCTCCTTTCTAAAGAAAGAATAGACTCGACCCCCTCCAGACTTATCGCTTCCCCCTGGGATAGTGCGATTTCATATATATATATATATATATATATATATATAGGTATATATATATATATACATTGCACACTCCTCCATCCTAAATATGAAACCGTACCATCCCAACCAGGCCGGGTTCCCCCCCCTGAGGGTCCGTTGTTTGTTTTGGTTGTTTTTTTTGTTGTTTTTTTGTTGATTTTGTTTGTTTTTTATATATAAAAAACACTCTGCGGTGACATTTTTTGTTCGAACATCATATTTTTTCACAAATCCCCTGCAAAAAAAGCGAAGTGCACACGCGCGCGTCGTCGCGCGCGCATGCCGAAATCCTTCAACAACCTTCGGTGCCGGAAGGATTTCGCAATCGAGTTACCAAAACACATATAAAAACACATGTTTTCGCAACACTGATTTGCTAAACAAGTTTCCGCGCGAGCTCCAGCGAAATCTTGCGAAAACCAAAATGTTTTTTCAAGATTTTCACAAAATGCTATCAAACGGGCTTCGCGCGCGCGCATGTCGAAATCTGTCGAACGCCCTTGCGCGTGTGCCGTCGCGAGAATCCTGTGCAAAACATTTGACGAAGTGCAGACGCGCGCGTCGTCGCGGGCGTACGCCGAAAACCTTCAAAACCCATCAGTTTCGGAAGGATTTCAAAATCGTGCGTCCAAAAAACTTACAAGAACCCAAGGTTTCGCAACACGGATTTTCAACAAAAGCGTGCGCGCGCGCTCTTGCGTCATCGTCGTCGTCGTCGTCGCCGTCCTCCCTCCTCCCGCGTCGTCGTCGTCGTCGTCGCCTACGTCGTCCTCTGTCTTTTCTCGTGTTCGTCGTCGTCGTCCTCTTTGGCGTCGTGGTCGTTTCCGTCGTCGTTGTCGCCGTGGTCGTCCTTCCACCTCCTCCCACGTCGTCGTCGTCGTCCGTCGTCGGCGTCTCGTCGTCGTCCCTCCTATTTCGTCGCCGTCGTCGTCGTCGTTGTCGTCGTCTTCCCTCCTCCCTCGTCGTTGTCGTCGTCGGCGTCGCCGTCCTTCCTCCTTCGTCGTCGTTCGCGTCGTCGCCGTCCTCCCTCCTCCCTCGTCGTTGTCGTCGTTGTCGTCGTTGTCGCCGTCGTCGTCCTTCCTCCTCCCTCGTCGTCTTCGTCGTCCTCTCGTCGTCGTCGTCGTCGTCTCGTCGTCGTCGTCGTCGTTCGTCGTCGTCGTCGTCGTCGAAGTCGTCGGAGACGTCGTCGGTGTCGTCCTAGTCGTTGTCGTCGGTGTCGTCGTAGTCGGTCTTAACAGGTTTTGCAAACCAAGTTGCGTGTGGGTGGGTGGGGTGTTTGCGCGAGCAGTGGAGATGACGACTTCAAGTTCAGCAGAGTGGATTACACACATAAGTTGCACCACCTAAACTGCACAACAAATATTGCACAGCATAGATTGCACGGCACAGGTTGCACCATCTATAGTGCACCGCATCTGGTGCACGACCATGAATGTCGCACTACTGGTTGCACAGCATAAACTGCACCACGTAGATTGCAAGACATATATTACCCAGCACATATTGCACCACATAAATTGCACCACGTGGGTTGCACAACATAGGTTGCACCACACACACACACATATATATATATATATATATTAAACCAAGCTGACTGCATCACATATTTTGGGAGTCACATGGGTTGAGCGGCACATGTTGCATAACACAGGTTGCACCACATACATACGTTGCAGAACACAGGTTGCACAACATATCTTGTACACCAGAAATTGCGCCGCATAGATGGCACAACACAATCTGCATCAGCCTTATTGCGCCCCCTGCACTGATTGCGCTACATCGATAGCACCACGTCGGCTTCATCGTATGGATTGCACACAACATAGATGGCACACACTCTCTCTCTCTCTCTCTCTCTATATATATATATACAGACGACAACATCGACTGCACCGCGTATATCGCATCACACGGATTGCACAAGATGTCTTGTACGTTATATAGTGTATAGTACCAGAAGCACACTGTCTGCGGACCACGCTGCCTAACATGGGAAATAGTCGGAACCTGGGAAATCTAGGAACAAATCGAGATCACGGCCTCTTGCTCCTCTGAAGCGAGCGTGCGAGGAAGAGGTAGGGCAGGGAAGGGAGGAGGAGGTGGGATGATGAGGAGGGAGGAACGGGGAGGGAAGGAAGGAGGAAGGAGTCCCCCCATTGCCCCCAGGCTCGTCCTTGTCCATCTTTTTCCAGAGGGCCTTCAGGTCCTTGGACTCCGTGAGGCCGTAACTCTTCATCTCCGCCTCGGCAGGTCGTGTCCACGGAGACACTCACGGGGGATAGCGAAGAGGAGCGGAACGGAACGCAACACCCACGATCCAAGATGAGCTCCATAGCCTGACTGGCAGCGAAACTGCTGTCAAACGAATGCTCGATCTGTGCTGGTCGCCTTTTGATAATGATCCTTATGACCCCGCTCGGGGAAACCGCTGGCTGGCAACGGAACCGCTTGAGGACGACGAGAACGGAAAAGGGAGGGGAATGCTACTGACGAGATGCTTGGTGAGCACGAGGAGCGGGGAGGAAGGGGGAGGAGTAGACACAATGCGAACGCACTACGAGAGGAAAGCAACTCAACGCGAGAAAAAGCAAGCTCGGCGGTAATGATGAAACCACTCCGACAAACTACCTCTACCTGAACACCAACACACGTCTCTGTCTAGCCGGGCGCTGGTACTGACCATGGGGGCAAGAGGAGGCGAACGAAACGGCAGGAGAGGGGGAGGGAGGCGAGGGATAAGAGGAATACTAGGAGGATCAAGGATGAGGAGGGCCGAGGGATGATGATGATGATGATGACGATGATGATAATAATAATGATGATGATGATGATGATGATGATGATGATGATGATGATGATGATGATGATGATGATGATGATGATGATGATGGTGGTGGTGGTGGTGGTGGTGGTGGTGGTGATGGTGATGGTGATGGTGATAGTGATGGTGGTGATGATGATGGTGATGCTGAAGATGCTGACGATGATGATGCTGCTGATGCTGGTGCTGATGCTGATGGTGATGGTGATGGTGATGGTGATGGCGATGGTGATGGTGATGGCGATGGTGATGGTGATGGTGATGGTGATGGTGATGGTGATGGTGATGGTGATGGTGATGATGATGATGATGCTAATAATAATGATGATGATGATGATGATGATGATGATGATGATGATGATGATGATGGCAATGGCGATTCTGATGAGGATGCTGCTGATGATGCGGGGGAAGCGTACGGGCAGCAGAGGCCCACAGTACACCGAACTGACTCGAAGGGGGGCCGAATGAAGACCACAGCGGCTGCCCCGCCCGGCCCGCACCCGCTCGGCATCCGCCCGCGGACCCCCCCCGTGGGGGTCCGTGCTGGCCTGCTCCTCGCGGCGGGCCAGACGTGGCGACGAGACGCCTCCATGAAGGGGCCCTGGGACACACACAAAGAAGTACGCACAAATAAAAGGATTCCCCATATATTTTGCCATATTTCCTGGGTGTTTGTCTGCCCCCCCACTTCCCATCTTTTCCCATATTTTCCTGGGGATCGTCGATTAAAATTGTGCCTGTGTGTTTTTTTGCCCCTCCTGACGCCGGGAGGACCCGACGAGGCCGCACGAGGGCCAGGCAAGGCAACCGTCGTCTCGGCCGCCCCTCCTCCAGCTGTGAACCAAGAGCAGTGGCCAGGCGACGTGGCTCTGCCGGGTGCCGTCGACTTCGCTCGGGGAGGCTGCGCGCGAGGGCACGAGGCGCTGCCGCTGGAACCGCAGAAGGCACCGGTGCGGCAGGGTCGACCTGCAGACCAAACCCGGCTGCATGCTCCTCCGCGTACTGTGTGGGAGCACTCCCGTGCGTCCCGCGCTGCGCACATGCGGGCCGTGCAGGAGAGCCCAGAATCGAATCGAGAAGTCGGATCGGCGATCGAAATGAATCGGATCGGCGGAAATCGGCAGCCGGGCTGGGAAAAGTCGAATCGGCGGAGATCGGCAGGCTGGTAGGCCTCCATTGGGACATCGGACACCATATCGGAATCCGAGGTCGCATCAAATCGGAATCGGAAGCCATCGGAATCGAATCGCATCGAGCCCTGGCCATGCGCGCTTAGAGCACGTGTCTGCCGCACACGAGCCCCCTTCCCCAGGACCGTTTCTTGTTCTGAGTTGTTTTTTGACGGCCCCGATACAAAGCCCAGGACACCCAATACTGTCAAACAAAATCTAGGTTTTCGTCATCCCCCCCCCCATGTGCGACATGTTCCTCTTTTTTCCTGGGGGTCGACGATGAATTGTGTCTGCGCGTTTTTGCCCCTCCCGCCGTTGATGCTAAGGGGCTGGGGCGCTGACTGCGTGCTGCGCCGAAGCGTGGTGGCCAAAGCCAGCGGCGCGACATGCTTTGAGCAAGCGTCCCTGATCGTAGACACAGTCGACCCGTACCATAAGGATGCGCGACAAGGATGCAAGGGCCTTGGATGGGCCATTGCGAAGTTGTTCGAGCGCGGTGCGGTCAACGAAAGTGGCCAAGGATAAACCGAGGAGGCAAGGATGCAAAGAAAACCCTTGGGATGGCTGCCCATCCTTACCGTGCGGGTTGGGTGTAATTTGCGCGTATCCTCCTCCCACTTCTGGTGTTGTTCCCCTTATTTTTTCGGGCAAGAGCCAGGCGCCTCCATGTCGACCCTCAGCCGCACAAACTTGTCCTCGGGCAGAGAGGGGGGGGGGCAGTCGCCGGGCGTGGCAACGAAGCGTTGCTTTTTCCTCCTCCTCCTCCTCCTCCTCCGCCTCCTTCTCGTCCTCCTTTTCCTCCTCCTCCTCCTCCTCCTCCTCCTCCTCCTCCTCCGTTCTGCCCACGAGGATCGCAAGTCGAGGATCGACATCCCCCCTCCGCCTCCTCCTGCTCCCCTCCCCGGATGGAAGGCGTTAATACATGCGTTCGACACACCTATACATAGACCAGAACCATCGCGCGCGCTTCGCGCGCACTCAGGTTCTAGCAGGCCCCATGCCTGGACGATTTCACTGCTCCACTGAAGTAGTAGACCAAAGTCCACGCGTGTCAATCCGTATTTCGGAAGACTTTCGGAAACGATGGTTGCGTAGGGGGGCAGAGGCTAGATGAACCAGGTTCCCAGAAGGCCCTCTGGGAACATGGGTTTGGGGGGCGTCTTGGGGAACCTGGTGGGGCGTGTCGACGTCGTCGCTGCAACGTCGTCGTCGCCTCGTGGGACGCGCCGTCGGCCCGGGGCCGCAGGCGACCCGAGGAAGAGGAGGAGGAGGAGGAGGAGGAGGAGGGGGAGGAGGAGGAGGAGAAGAAGGGGAAGGAGGAGGAGGAGGAGGAAGAGGAGAAAAAACAATGAGCAATGAGAAATGAGCAATGCGCGGGGAGTTCGAATCAGTTCCTCGCCCTCGTTCCAATAAACTTGGGAAGAACCCTGCGCAACCCGACTTAGAGGTGTGCGGGTTGTGTGTGTGTGTGTGTGTGTGTGTGTGTGTGTGTGTGTGTGTGTGTGTGTGTGTGTGTGTGTGTGTGTGTGTGTGTGTGTGTGTGTGTGTGAAAGACGGGGGGCCCCCGCTGGCGGGACCAGCACCGCCCCCGAACGGTGGCGAACTCCATGGCGCCGCGCAGGCGCACTGGGGAGAACCACCTAGGGGACCGACTCATGGCTGGGTCCTCGACCCTTGCTACTGCCCTTCAACCTACGTGGAACCCGCTCGGGGGCCACCGCGAGTGGGATGAGGGGAAGACTTGGATTAGCGTACGAGGCTGCAAAAGGGTCGGGGATGATTCCTCGGGCCACAAAACTGGCCAAGCGCTCACTACCCGAGAAGGCCCCTTTACTTCACGTCGGGTTCGTAATGCTACTCGTCCTATCTCTACACCGGCCCCCGCACATACTCCTAACCCCATGCCCACGATAATAATGTACCCCCCCTTAAGTCGCTAGAGATTGTTATCGTCGGCCAAAAAGAGTTTGGTCGGGGGCGCGGGGGCGCGGAGGCCGAACTTCATTATCCCTGGGAAAGTTCGCCATCGAGGATATTTCCTTCTCATGTTGAGATAACAACATCAAGCGAAACGAACACGTTTTTTTTTTCCAGGATGCCTCAAGCGAAACCAATAATTTCGGGATGCAGGCTCAAGCGAAATGATCAATGTTTCTTTCTCTTCCTCCCCGTGGCCCCTGAACTTGTTTCTCGCTGTGCTGTATTATCCAAGGAACCCGAGGCAGATGAGCCTACACGATCATATGAACATTTTTGATTTTCATTAAGCGCTTACAAATTAAATATAATCAGTTTTGAACTTTGGATTTTTGCTATCTCCTTCTCCTCTCCTCCTCTTGCTGTTTCTCCTCGTCCTCCTTCTCCTCCTCTTCCTCCTCTACCTCCTCTTCTCGTTCTATCGTTCTGTGTATCTATATATTTTTCTTCTCCTCCCCCTGCCCCCCTGAACTTGCTTATCGCTGGAGTTTACGATCCATGGATTTCGTTAGTGGGGCCGACGCAAGCGTCAATTCATTTCTATAACAAAGAATGATAAACTCATAAAGATCTATAAGGAATCCATAGGGATCTAAAGAAAGCCAAAGGAATCGAACCAAATCTTTGTGTAGAAAAAAACCATACGGATTTCGTGGAGGATGTCTCAATCGAGACAAATCATTGCTGAGGATGTCTCATAGAGGACCAAAGACCAAGGATTATCAAGATATCTTTGGCTTTTTGATATATTTGGCTTTTTCCTCTTGATATCTCTTTATAATGGCTCTGGCGGGCAACTTTTTATTATCCCCCCGAAAACCCCGAACTCTATTATCCCTTAGGGTTTATTATCGGGGGCATGGGGTTATCGCTTTTCCTCACTCACTTGGTAAGGATGCTTTACTCGCTGCTCAGGTTGGCTCATTTCTTCTCGATCAAGTCCACGAGGCGGGCCGCCTCGCGTTCGAGGGGGCCCTCGGAGCAAGACCCACCAGCTGCACCGCCTGGACGGTCTCGTCATTGAGGTACCAAATGAGTATCTCTCGGGCCTGAGCTCCCGCCTGGTCGCAGCTGAAGGCGTGGGTCCGGCAGCTGTTTTTCTGACTGCTGCTGGCTGCTCCCTGGCTGCTGGCTGCAGCGCTGTCCGTCTCCGGGTTTTTCTTGCCTTCCTGCTTCCGATAGCGAAAGTGGAGCACGTGCTTGCCCACCGTCGTCCGCAGCCTGGACGTACTTCGTGAAGTACTCGTGGATCTTCTTCTTCTTCTCGCCTTCCACGTATGCTGCGTTGCCGTCCGAGACGGCCGCCGAGTGGTTGACGAGGTAGAGCAGAGCTGCGGCCCACAGCTGGACGTGTGGGGGTCCCCGCGCGCGCGCGGAAGCCGACCTCCTCGCCTGCTCGCTGTCGTTCTTTCATGCTTCTGGGATGCTTCGTCGTACTTGACGCCCGACTGGCTCATGACATCAGCGCTGCCGCCTCCCGCCTCGACGAGTTCCCTTGCCTGCACCCACCGTGCCCGCGAGGCTCGCGAGGCTCGCGCGGCGAAGAGAGGCACCGCCACTGGTGGGGAGCAGGACGCGCGCCGGCGTGGCAGCCCTTCCGCCGCCCCTCTCGCCCTCCCGGCGGCCCTCGGCGTGCTCTGCTCAAGAAAGAGAGGGGGAGGAGGAGGAGGGAGGAGGGAGGAGGGAGGAGGAGGAGGAGGAGGAGGAGGAGGGAGGAGGAGGAGGAGGAGGAGGAGGAGGAAGAGGAGGAGGAGGAGGGGTCGCCGAAGCCCTTCGGAGAGACCCTCCATGGGGGAGACTGCCGTCGTGGATGTATCGCGACGTGCGTGCTTGCTGCCACTCTCGGCCTCCGTGGGCCCTCGCTGGGCCCTGGGACCGTCAAGAGACGACGCCCAGGCTGAGAATCCCCAGAAAGAAAAAGGGGTCCGGACCTCTGGGGAGCCACCCTTCAGAAAGAATCGCGACGTCGGATGTTTGAGATGACCTGGACTCGGCGATACTTCGCCGAGCGATCACCGACAGGCCCCAGCGATAGCACAAGCGCAAGCCCTCACTGACGACGAACGGGGCGACGTCGTGAATCGAGGCGTCCCCCCCGTGGCCAGCCCCCCCCCCATCCCAACGTTTTTTCCACTTGGCCTTCGGATCCTTTCGCAGCTCTCTGGCACAGCCCCAGAAAGCTCTTGGCGGGGAGCAGCTGATGGAGAGCACCCCGAGGCTGTGGGGAAAAAAACACACACGTGGGAAAATGTGGGAAAACACACACACACACACACACACACACACACACACACACACACACACACACACACAAACACACACACACACACACGCACACACACACACACACACACACCGAGGCTGTGTGTGTTTTTTGGTGTATGTGTGTGTGTGTTGTGATTGTGTTTTTTTGTGTGTGTGTTGTGATTGTGTTTTTGTGTGTGTGTTTTTTTGAAAGCCGCCGAACTTCGAACCTCGAAACTTCGTTCCCCCTGTGAACCTATCCCCGCCCGGAGTGCTGCCCCCGATCCCCCCCCCCCCCGATGTCGCTGCTCCCGAGTCGGCCCCTTTCGGTGGCAACTCATCGAGGCACCGCATGCAGTCTTGCTTGTTTCTGGGAGCCGACGCTAATTAACTGATGCTGATCGGCGCTAACCGACGCTAAACAGGAGCTGCACGATACACTACCAGACGCGCGCGCGCGCCAGCGCACTCGATTGCACTCCAAACCGAAGAAGAACGAACAACTGCATGAACCTAACTTCTCGGAGTGCAGGATCTCCTGCATCGGCGCTGGACCCCCTCCCTGGCGCGAGGCGCCGCCAGGAGCGCCCAACGTCAATCCGAGAAATCGGCGCGAACCTCCGAGAGATCATGTTTACAGTGGGGGCCCGACCACAAGAAACCTTTCACAAGAAGCCAAACCCCGAGACCCCAGGAAGTCCTGGGATTTCTGGTGTGGGAACGTCGCGGATTCAATCGCACAACCATCGAAACCCAAGAAACTTCGGGCACACTGGAGGCCAGCAGGGTGTTTCTGGGCATGGGCCTCCACTGTAAGGCTGAAGGCCTTCTGAGCCGCGCGAGGAAGAGGAGGAGGAGGAGGAAGAGGAGGAGGAGGAGGAGGAGGAGGAGGTAGAGGAGGAGGAGGAGGAGGAGGAGGAGGAGGAGGAGGAGGAGGAGGAGGAGGAGGAGGAGGAGGAGGCGTGCCTCGATCTGCGGCCGAAGACGGAGAGCGCGAGGGCGCGCGAGGCCCCCAGGACCGGCCGCCGATCCGCCCCCCCGCCCGAGCGCGCGGGGAGGGGAGCCCCCCCCCCCCGGGCAGTGGGGCGCGGAGCTCCTGCGAGGCCGCGACCATGGTGCTCCTCATGCCGGGCTCCTGCCGCGCCCCGCCCGGGCCCCGCCGCTCCGGGGCCGTGCGGCGGGGGAGGGGGGCAGGGAGAGGAGGAGGAGAGGAGGAGGAGGAGAGGAGGAGAGAGAGGAGGAGGAGGAGGAGGAGGAGGAGGAGAGGAGGGAGGAGGAGGAGGAGGAGGAGGAGGAGAGGAGGAGGAGGAGGGAGGAGGAGCCGGGGGCCGCGCCCCGAGCGGCCGGGGGCCCGGGCCCCCCCCCCCCGGGGGGGCCCCGCCGCGGAGGGCCGGCCGGCGCGCGGGCCGGTGGCGCCCACGCGGAGGGGGGCGCGCCGAGGCCCGCGAGAGGCGGGGGGGGGCTTGAGCAGGGACCGACCGTCCCGGCATTCGTGTGGTCCTACCACGAGATCTTCCTAGTACCCCAAATCATGCTAGCGGAGTTCCCCACATAATGATGTTATTGGGATAGCGGAATCAAGGATCATTTTGTCATGAAGTTGCCGACCTGCCCTCGCCCTCTCCATCCTTTTCTATCACATGGTTTGCAAATACCCTCCTCGCTCAGGCAGGGCCTCCCTGGAGGGATGGGAGGGGCACGGAACCTGATAAATAACATTGTTTTCGAATAGCGTCCTCGCTCAGGCGGGGCCTCCCTGGAGGGTGGGAGGGGCACGAAACCTCATAAGTAACACTGTTTTCGAATAGCGTCCTCGCTCAGGCGGGGCCTCCCTGGAGGAGGGGCACGAAACCTGATAAATAACACTGTTTTCGAATAGCGTCCTCGCTCAGGCGGGGCCTCCCTGGAGGGGTGGGAGTGGCACGAAACCTGATACATGACACTGTTTTCGAATAGCGTCCTCGCTCAGGCGGGGCCTCCCTGGAGGGGTGGGAGGCCACGGAACCTTATAAATAGCACTGTTTTCGAATAGCGTCCTCGCTCAGGCGGGGCCTCCCTGGAGGGGTGGGAGGGGCACGAAACCTCATAAATAACACTGTTTTCGAATAGCGTCCTCGCTCAGGCGGGGCCTCCCTGGAGGGGTGGGAGGGGCACGAAACCTGATAAACAACACTGTTTTCGAATAGCGTCCTCGCTCAGGCGGGGCCTCCCTGGAGGGGTGGGAGGGGCACGAAACCTGATAAATAACACTGTTTTCGAATAGCGTCCTCGCTCAGGCGGGGCCTCCCTGGAGGGGTGCGAGGGGCACGAAACCTGATAAACAACACTGTTTCGAATAGCGTCCTCGCTCAGGCGGGGCCTCCCTGGAGGGGTGGGAGGGGCGCATGGTATTGGTATGGTATTGGTATGGTGGGAGGGAGCTCAGACGAAACCTGATAAATAACAGGTGTTGCATGGTATTGGTATGGTAGTGTTATGGTATGGTATGGCTTGGTATGGTTTTGGTATGGTATTGTATTGGTATGGTATGGCTTGGTATGTTGGTATGGTATGGTATTGGTATGGTAGGGCTTGGTATGGTATGGTATTTGTATGGTATGGTGTTGGTATGGTATTGGTATGGTATGGCTTGGTATGGTATTGGTATGGAATGATATTGGTATGGTATGGCTTGGTTTGGCTTGGTATGGTATTGGTATGGTATGGTATTGGTATGGTATGGCTTGGTATGGTGTGGTGATGTGCGGAATGGTTTCATATGGTATGGTTTAGGAGAAGGACGCGGGAGGAGGAGGAGGAGGAGGAGGAGGAGGAGGAGAATGAGAGGGTGTTCTGGGAAAACAAGAACCCCACTCAGGATGTGGGGAAACATGTTCGTGTTCGAAGAACAGAAGCAGTGTTCTTAGAACAGTAACCCGATGTGCTAAAACAAAGCAGTCCCAGCCAAAACTGTTTTGAGAACATCTCGTGAGAACCACACTAGGTTCTTAGAACTTGAAGCTCGCTGAGGGGCAGCAAACGCGATCTGTGTTTCTGGGGCGACGGGGGAGAGGGCAATGCATCTGTCGGGCAAGAGCAAGCACGAGCAGCCCAATCGTCGGCAAGAGCAGACCTGAAATCAGCGCTTCTCGCGAAGGGCGGCTGGAAGGATTGCCGTTGACCGATCAAGCGCGCCCGCCGAGCGTACGGGGATCTGGCCCTGGAAACAACGTTGCCCCCCCAGCGACCTTCAACTTAGAACATGCTTTGGCAGGACTATAGTGAAGGGGCCCCAGGACACACAAATAAATACACACAAATAAAACGATCCCCCATAGTTTCCCATATTTTCTGGGTTTTTGTCTTCGCCCCCACTTCCCATATTTTCCCATATTTTCTGGGGAATCGACGATTAATTGTGTCTGTGTGTTTTTTCCCCTCCTGATATAGGCGAGCCAGGACGCGTCGCCACTGCTTGACCGAGGCGGACCTCCGAGAGCCGCTCGTCGAGAGGCGCGGCCTGCAGGCCTGGGAGGAGCAGCTCGGCCCCTTCGACGGCCGCCCGCCCGCCAGGAGGGGGGCCACGCGAGGGCTCGGGAGGGGGCCACATGCGAACCCTACACCCCGCGAAATGCTTAAGAATTCATGGGTTAAGAAATTCATAGTCTCAGAACTTGAATAAAAAACCCAACATTTCTATTAAATCTCAAGATTTACATTGAAACGTTAAGAATAATCGAAACTCTGGCCGAAAACTTAGGTTTTCTTAAGCATCGCCTAAGGTGTACCCCACCCTCCACGATTTTTGAGGGGGAGGGTGGGGTTCACTCCGCTCGGGAGCTCTCGAACGAAGGGAACCCCACCCTCCCCCTCGAAAATCGTGGAGGGTAGGGGTAGGGTTCGCATGTGGCCCCCTACTCGGGAGGAAGAGCTGCAGGAACCCGGGAGCGCAAGGGGAGGGGATAATCTATATATATATATATGTATATATATACACATATATGCAAGACTGCAGTGGCGCTTCGCGCCATGCACCTTGGTCCTTGAAGTTTGGCATGCAGGCGGAATGGCAGGAAGGTCAAACCGACAATTTAGCGATAACTCCTGGTTGCCTTTTCCGGCATCGCCGCTATAATGATGTTATTCGTTATTATTCCTCCATGCTTATTGTTCCTTATTTTCGCCATACCCTGCGCATTCTCCCCATCCTCCTCAGCTCTTTTTTGCGGAGGCTCCTCCTTGGAGAGCCTCTAGGGGCCTCACAAAAGTTGTTTCCAGGCTTTCTTAAGGCCTTCTGGAGGCCTCCTGGGCGTATTCTGGGGGCCTCCGGGGGCTTCCTCGGGCCACCCTGCCTCCAACCGCCGTCTCCCTGAACGACCGAATCACGATTTGGAATTCTTCGGAGGGTGTCTTTGGGCCATCTTGGGCCGCCATGGGGCTCTCTGAGGGCCATCTTGGACCCGTGTTGTGCCGTTTTGGGACTCTCTTGGACTGCCTGGAAGCCCTTTCGGATGGTTGTGGGGCGATTTGGGAGCCTCCCAGGCGGCTTCGGACGCCCAGAAGACCGCCGTCTTAGAGCGTCGGGAAGCCGAAAAGAGAACCCCAAAATTCACCAAAAACCCATAGAAAATCAATGATTTGTGCCTCGGGGGGCCTTCTTGGGAGTGCTCTTGGAGGCCTCTTAGGGGCCGCCCTGGAGGCCTCTTGGGCCATCTTGAGGTCACGTCGGTCACTCTTGGAGCGCTCTTGTGCTGTCTTGGGGGTCTCTGGGACGTCTCCGATGACCCCCCTGATCGCCTTGAGTGTGCTGGGAAGGCTCGGCAAAACGCCTTGCGAGGCCCGGTGGCCGCCTCGAGGCCCGTCCGGAGGGCCCCAAAGCCCCAGGTCCCGGGAGTCCGGTTTTGGGGGGGGGGGGGACGGGTTTTCCCCCCGCCCGGGCTTATAAAAATAGAGGAAGAGGAATATATATGTATATATATATATAGAGAGAGAGAGAGAGAGAGAGAGAGAGAGAGAGCACTCCCCGCTCGGGGGAGATCACGGCATCGGTGCACTTGCTGCGGCGCTGGCCCGTGTCCATCGATGCTGCGCGTGCCAGGCCGTTCGCTCCTCCGTCGGCGTTTTGCGAGGCATCATCTGCGAGAGGGAGTTGGCAGCGAGGGTTCTGCGACGCCCGATGGGAGAGAGGGACGAGGAGGACGAGGAGGAGGAGGAGGAGGAGGAGGAGGAGGAAGAGAAGGAGGAGGAGGAGGAGGAGGAGGAGGAGGAGGAGGAGGAGGAGGAGGGAGGAGGAGGAGGAGGAGAGGAGGAGGAGGGAGGAGGGAGGAGGAGGAGGAGGAGGAGAGAGGAGGAGGAGAGGTATGCAGGAGGGAGGGGGAGGAGGAGGCGAAGGAGGAGGAGACAGAGGAGGAGGAGGAGGAGGAGGAGGAGGAGGAGGAGGGGGAGGAGGAGGAGGAGTTCCCCTCCATGTTGTTGCCGCATCTGCGATGATGAGTTCGAAGATGCCACTCCTCTGCTGTGGCATCTGGCGGCCCACTTGCCGAGCACATGTCTTGTCGATTCGGGAGAGATTTTCCAAAACGGGGAGCATGGCAGACGCGGCATGGACAGCCTTCCTGGGAGGAAGTGCCGCCGAACCCCCGCGGAAGAAACGGGGCGCCAACAGCGCTGACGACGCGGACAAGATCTGGGAGCTGCTGTCCATCCTCGTGAAGTTGTGCCTCCAGACAAAGCAAGAATTACGCGTGCTAATGGCAGTTGTGTTCATTTGCTGATAGGTCGCAGCAGATAGCTCGGCAGCGCAGGGAGCCAGGTTGGCATACAAGGTCCACGCCGACTGCACGAAGGGCAAGAGTGGCCAAGATGAGAGGGCATTCATCACGTTGCTGATGGAGGCAAAATCGTCAGAACATCTTGGACAGGGAACTCTCGAGAAGATCCGGACCTTCCTGCGGCCCACCCGCCGCCCAGTCTGCCAGTGATCCCAAAGGCAGGCCTGCAAACGACGAGCTCCAAGAAGCCGTCCCGTGTTGCAAGGTGCAGAAGATGCACAACTCCGACCAAGTGAAGTTTTCCATCCGTGCGCATCACATATACGTTGCTTTGGAGAACATCGTGATCAAGCGCCTCCGGGGCATGAAATGCAACCAATACTGCGGCCAGGCCCCCCGGGGAGCCCTGGAGAGGAAGGCCCAGGTGCTCAACCTCCATCTGAGGGACGAGGAGTAGGCGTGAGGTGCGCCTGGTGTCTCGGCTGTGCTCGCCGCTCCCCTTGGCGTGCCTGGCTGGGCACGCTCGGTCGGGGCCGCTCCCCTGGGCCTGGGGCCCAAGCCTTCAGAAAATCGGGCAGCGACCCGATCGCGCTGCCTGGCTCTGGGTGCACGGAGTCCATGCGCAGTTCCGCCGCCGCCGCCGCTCAACCCAACGCGTGCGTCGTGCCTTGGGCTGGGGACCAGGAGGAATACAAAACATGAAGTTATGGCTCGAGGACGGTCCAGGGGATTTAACTGGGACGGGCCTCGCTCACGGGTGCGTCACGACATGCTTCGATGTGCGTTGCGTGACCTTGGCGGGAGTGACTGCATGGGCGTCGAAAAGACGTGGCCCAGGAGGAGCAAGGGGTCGAACAGGAGGAGGGGAGGGTGGCGGGAGAGAGTGCGCCGCGCCACCAAGGGGCCAAAGAGAGAAAGGGAGATCGGCCCTCATCAAACCACCCCTCCTTGCGCTGCTCCCCTCCTCCTCCCCAATCCGCCTTCCCAGCTTCGGCTCTTTCCTCCTCTATCCTTCGGTCGGGCGTGTCCCCTATACAGGCGGATTCTGGGCGAAAAGCAGAAATACTCAAAAAGAACAATGGAGAGTGGTCAAACAATACTCGAAACATCGTCCCCTGACTATTTTCTGACCATGTGTTTCAAAATTCCTCCTTTAGAGGGACACGCCCGACTTAACTCAGTCCCTCCATACCACCGATCCCGCCTGCACCGATCGTGCACCGATCCTGCCGTGGCCCCCCTTGGGCCCGGGACGGGTCTGTACAGCCTCCTGTTTTGACCAGAAGGGAGTCATAGATAGAGTTAGGTCGGGCACGTCCTCCGACTGGCGGATTTTGGACGAGAAATTAAAATGACCCCCCTAAAAAACCCTAAACGATTCAAACATAGTTGAAAACATCGTTCCCCGACTATCTTTTTACTATGTTCGAATGCTCCTCCTGTAGAGGGACACGCACCCGACTGAAAGGTAAGAGTCATCTCGCTGGGATGAGGCCCGCTCCGGCGTCGACACGACCTCGATGATGCTCACGTCTTCCCGTGGCTCGTGAGCCCGAGCGCCAACGAGGCCCCAAAGGGGTCCCGTTGCCGAGGCCCCTCACGGCACAGCTCTGGCTGCGTGCGCAGGCCCAGGGCCCAGGCTTGGCCCGCCAGAGAAGGGGAAGAGCATGGGGAGAACGGCCTACCTACCAGACCACCCCAACCCAACCCGAAGACCCGAATTTCGGGTTGGGGGGGGGTAAGGGTTCCACATGTGTTTTTTCGAGGTTTCCCGACCCCCCCCCCAACTGGAAATCGAAGGTAAATCTGAGCCTCCGGGTTGGGTTGGGATGGTTTTAGTGAGTGGTGAAGAACGGCTCAGGGGGGAAGCATCGAGCTGGAATCGGCGATCTATCGGCGATAAGCCCCCAGTGCCGAAACCAAAAAATCGTGGGGCCAGTTTGGGCTACCGCGCCCCTGCCGGCGATGAATGGGCCATTGGGGGTCGATGCATCCGCCCCCCAAGGGTTTCCTTCCCCCCCCCCCACGTGGCCCCGGAGCCAGTGCGAGCCGCAACTGAAAGGCTGCAGCCCCTGACCCAGGCTGCCGGGGGGGAAGGAACGAGCGCAGCGGTACCGCTTACGGCCGGTCTCGCGCCGCCGACTGCGGTGCACGTGCGCGAGGCCTCGAAGCACTGCAGATGGGACCGCTCGGATGACAAGAGGTCAGCTTCCAAAACTAGTAACAGAGGCCTCAAGCCAGGCGAGGGGCAGACGAACGAGGTCAAGAAAGACCTCGACGTGGCGCATCCAACCAATTCGTGCCCTCGGAGGTGCACGCGGGTAGGCACTCCTTCAAGATATTCTGGCTGCCACGGGTTGTTTGGGACCCGCAACGTCACGGACAACAAAGGCTCCTCTGCCCCAGACAGCTACCTCGTGGGACGGGCGAACATGAGAGGCTCTGACAACAAAAAAACGCTTCGAACCTGAGGAGAGGAGGAGAGGGATAGGTCCCCGACCCCTGGTGGGCAACGTACACCTGCACTCCCGGGCGCCGCGCTCCTCCTGCCAGCTCCCGTTGCTGCCGCCCGTCGACCACTTGCCGCCGCTCCGCTCGCAGTCGCTCGGGCTGCGGGCCGCGCCGGCGCGCACCACACGACCGGCGACGTGGGCCCCCCCCCCCCGCCCTCCCAAAGGGCCCTCCCCTGAGAGGAGCATCAGGCGCAGACGATCATAACTATTGGGGCACACTGCGTCGCCCCTCCCTTTCCGAGGCCCCTGGGCCGCCTCGCGCACTCCTTGGTGCTCTCCAAGGCGACCTGGATACCCAAGATGGTTCCCAGGCCGCCGAGGCGGCCACGTTATCGAGATTCCGACGACCCTAAACGACCCAAGAGAAAGTCAAGACGGCCGCAGAAGCCCCCAAGAGAACCATAAGACGGCCCAGGAGAGCTCCAAGACGGCCCGACAGGCGCCCGAAACTGCCCAATATGGCCCCAAAACGTCCCCAAGAGGGTCCCCAGGGCCCCCCAAGACTGGCTCCCAGGAAACCAAGGCTCTCACCAAACGGCCTATGCGAGTTCCGTGAGGATTGCTCACATGTGACGGCCGTCCTCTTCCTGAATGTTGTCCTGTTCATCCTGCTCCTCTTGTTCCTCCTCTTTCCCCTCCTCCTTTTCCTCCTCCTCCTCCTCCTCCTCCTCCTCCTCCTCCTCCTCCTCCTCCTCCTCTATCCCATCAACATCACTTCCACCACACCGACATCATCACCATCATCACCATCACCATTTCAATCAGCATCGTCCTTATCACCCTCATCATGAACACCATCTCCATCCTCATCGTCATGGTCGTCGTCACGATCACTCATATCATCAGCCTTCTGATCCTGATGATGATCATGTTCGCAATCATCGCCATCACCCCCATGATCATCGTCACCGTCACCATCGTCATCACCATCGTCACCACGGCTGCTCCAAGTCTGGGGAGACGAAACGTCACACGCGGCGGCCCCCCGCGCCTCCTCGAACAGCCGCCGCCCGTAAGGTTGGACTTTCACGGTGGCGGGACTTGCCGACTTGCCAGGAGCAGCTGGACATTTGGGGCACACCCCTCGTCGACCTTTGAAGGCATCTAAGTGCCAGTGAGTTTTGCGGGCAATAGTTATATCCACATCCAGTGCGTATTGGAGTTTTGGACTCTCTTCCCCAGAAACCGGAGGCGCAGTGGATATCAAGGCTAGATGTTTATCCATATCCAGTGCGCCTCGGCCTTGCGGCACCCCTTCCCCCAAAGTCCAAGACGCTCTGGATATGGATATGGAGATTGCCCGCAAGTTTGTGTGGGTCCAAGAGAACATCGGGAAACATCTGTTGCCCCGCTCCGCGCAAGCGAGGGGTCGTCGGGCGGAGGCCGCGGCCGGCGCGCGCGCACACATGTCCGCGAGGCATCTGCTGGCGAGCCGATGTTTTTTTATCTTGTGCGCCTGCTGTGCACTTCGGGCTGTCCGCGGTGATTTCCTTGGAGCGGCGCGGGCCCCTCTCCTGCCACCGCGAGCTGAGCGCGCCTGCGGTGGCGCCCGAAGCGAAGGTAACGGGAGTCCAGCGACAGCGCCCATGTGACCCGCATGGCCGTCAGTGGTGGATACTCTGAGCAAGCGCGCCCGTTAGATCAATGCGAACGCAGAGACGGGTGCGGCAGTTCCAGGAACCCCTCCTGGATTCTTCCCGAAGAAGGTGTTGAAAGGTTTTTCCTGGACTCCTGGGGGTGGGGGGGGCGACGAATGTGTTAAACAGTTCTTCGGGGAAACAGCAACCGTCCGAAAACCTGCCAAACAACGTCAATAAACCTCACAAAAGTTAGCGAGCTCGTCCAATTCATTGCAACGCAACTTCCAAACACCTATCAGGATTTGTTCCGAATGAATCTTGTTGGAAGGCGTGTAAAGGCAAGCCCGCCTGAATTTTTCAGACCAACAAATTCTGGAAACTTTTTGCACGGAAGGCCCAATTGAAACCTTCCTGGCGAAGGTTTTTGGCAGGTGTTGGTCCGGTTTTTTTCAAAAGAAGAACTCCTCGCTCTTTTCGGAGGATGGTGTTTGGAAGGCTTTGACGGAGTATGGTGTTGGAGAAGGAGACTGTTGAGTACTGGGTGTTGCGTTGGAGGCGGAGGCCCGTTGAACATTGGGTGTCGTGTTGAACGCGGAAGCACGGCGAACGGGCGGCTGGAGGCGGCCAGCCGGCGTGCGGCGGGCGGGCGGGCGGCGGGCAGCGGACGGGCGGATCGGGTTGTCATAGAATCTTTCTTGCAGCGGGATGCTGTCGAATACTGGGCATTGTGTTGGGGACTGAGGCTGTTGAGTACTGGGTGTTGTGCTGGAGACGGTCGCTGTTGAGTACTGGGTGAGGTGTTGAAGGCGGCAGCACGGCGAACGGGTGTGCGGATGGCGGAAAGCCGGCGGGCGGCGATCGGGAGGGCGGCGGACGGCGGGCGGGCGGATCGGAAATTCAATAGAACTCCTAAGTTCTCTCTTTTGCCGAAGGATGCTGTTGAATACTGGGTGTCGTGTTGAAAACGGAGGCTGTTGAATACCAGGTGTTGCGTCGGAGACGGATGCTGTTGAATACCGAGTGATGCGCACTGGGCGTGCCTGGCACGCTCGGGCCCCAGGGGGGCCTGGCGCGCATGGCGCCCCTGGCACGCGTGGCGCACCGCGCCCCAACGTCGCGCACCTGGGGGTCGGCTTCGGTTCCCAGTAGCTGCCCATCTAAAGACGACCGCTGAAGATGCTGAGGCTCGAGTGTTTCTTATCTGTAGGGAGGGTGGGTGGGAGTGAGCCAGGCGGCTTGAGGGCGGGCGGGTGGCTTGATCACTGTTCCCAAATAATACACACACACCCTCCCCCAGGCGACTGGTCGCCAACCCGAGTCAATGAGGGCCCCCCAACCATCCCTTTTAAAAAAAACAATGCAACACACACACACACACACACACCGCCTCGAAATTCGGAGCATGCGCAGCGAACCCGATGCGGTCTCCCCCCACCAGACCTGTCTAAAAACAATACAGAATACACTTGGCGGCGGCGGCGGCTACGGCGGCCGCGGCGGGGGCAGCGGCTGCGGCGGTTGCGGCGGTGGCGGCGGCGGTGGCGGCGGTGGCGGCGGAGACGGCGGGGGCGGCGGCGGCGGCGGCGGCGGTGGCGGCGGCGGTGGCGGCAGCGGCTGCGGCGGCAGCGGCTGCGGCGGCGGCGATTCGGCAGCGGGGGCGGCGGCGGCGGCGGCGGCGACGACGGGCGTCGCGGTGGCGGCGACGGCGGCGGACAGCGGCGGCGGCGGCGCGGCGGCGGCGGCGGGCGGCAGCGGCGGCGGCGGAGGCGGCGGCGGCGGCGGCGGCGGATTGGCCCCCAGTAGCTGCCCATGCAAAGACGACTGCTGAATATGGTGCGGCTCGGGCCAGGCTCGGGTGCTGCGTATGTGTTGGGAGGGCGGGTGGGAGTGAGCGAGACGGCTTGCGGGCGGGGAGGGCGTCTTGACCCCTCCCCCTTACCCCCCCCCCCCCTTGGGCCTGGGAGGGGGGAAGGGCGCGGGTAGCTAGAGCGCCCAGGATGGCTCGATATTGCTCCAAAGAGGGCCTGAGAGAGCCCAAGATGGCCTCAAAGATGGCTCAAGAAACCTCAAGATGGATCAAAGTAACCTCCGGCACACATCCAAGAGGTTTCAAGACGGTCTCGAGACGGTTTCAAGTGCCCTCCAAGCCCTCCAAGGACCCCCCATGGGGCCCAAATCCTTTGAAAACTTATAAAACATCCATGTCGGTTGCCTTCTCGCCATTTCGCTTCCGACGGGCTCTTGAGGTCTCAAGATAACCACAAGGCGGCCCAAGAGAGCCCCAAGAGGGGCCCAGGAGGGCCCCAAGAGGGCCCCAAGAGCGCCCCAAGAAGGCCTGAAGCTATGATTCTTTACCCCCCTCTTTTTGAACCATGAGGCCCAAGACAGCCCCAATGGGCCTCCCAGAGCCCCCCACAAAGAGCCCCAAGAGGGCCCCAAAGCCCAAAGAAGCTCCAAAAGGGCTTCAAGAGTGGCCCAAGAGGCTCCGCGAGGAACCCACGTTGCTGCTGCTGCTGCGCCCCAACCACCACTCCCCGATACAGTCATAGCTAAGGCCTGAAAGTCCAAGGCTCAGTGGACACAGTCTCCTGTGGGTCATGTTCTCTGTGTTCATTGATACAAGATAGGATCCAGGAGGCTTCGACGACGACCAACACATTCTACCCACATGACTATGGCAAACGAGCAATATGATCCATCTGGAGCCGTGCGTCTCCTCGCATGAGGGCAAATATTTCGGTAACGGACTGCATGTGGTGCAAATCATTCAATTTGAGATGTGTGGCGTAAGTTACGTAGCTCAAACCCACGTCGCCTCGCCCTCGCTAGCCGCCAGCTGCAGGCTGGCGCTGGCCCGTCGACTGGTGTTCGGAGAAAACTCCCCCCGAGCTTGTAGTGGAAACGCCGATGGGGGAAAACAGGCATGCGAGGCAGAGACTTATCCAGAACCAACGTCTCGGGGAACGGCCTTCGAGGACCTCAGCAGGCGGTGGGCATGGACGCACGTGGACCCCCACGGCCCGCACATATCTATGTCGAACGCTTGCCGATGCCCCCGCGAAGGTCTATCCCTCGGGCAGTGGTTGAGAACTTTTATTTCCGTCAGCGGCGAGGCGGCGAACTCCGCTCTAGTGAGAAGCTCGAAAGGGCCAACAACCAGCGAATTGGCCGGCGGGCAAAGAGGGGGGGGAGGACGGCCGAGAGGAAAAACGGAAGCTCAGACGTCGAAGAGATCGACGATGAGCAGCCAGTGGGGGGCAGCAGCAGCCAGGCGCGCAGGGCCAGGCGATGGTTATGAACAGGCATGTCAACATTCGCGTTAACGCCCGTGACCGGCCCAACCTCCCCCACCCCCTACCCCCCCCGTGGTCACGTCACGATTCCCGCCAATGCCGTCTGGGGATGAGCAATTTTTCAATATTCCAGACGGCGCTGGCGCGACTCTTGACGTGACCCGCCCCCTTCACCCCCCTCCCCCCACCCTGGTCACGCCCGTTACCACCCCATCGGACAAGCTAAGTTCCCCCCCGCGGCGGCAGCGGCGCCGCTCGGCGGCGGCGCCGCGGGGGCGACGTGCCGCGGGCGCAGAGGCATGCCGCGGCAGCAGGTGTCGGGGGCGCCCAGGAGGGAACCCGCCCAAGAGTGAGGTCCGCCAATCATGGCCCGAATCACGTGCGAGGACCAGGGGGGGGGGCAGGGAACTCATTGAAACCAGCAGAAAGGCCGTGGCATGTGAGGAGAGATTCTGGTCCCCACCATGTATCTCCACCCCTAGTCATCGCCCCCATCTTGGACGCTCCCGAGGCTGGCAGCGAGAACGCGGCAGCGGCCGGTGCGCGCGTGGACGAGCTGGCGTTGTCGGTCAGGTAGGCGTAGCACCTAGACCTGGGGCGGGGGGGGGCACCGCATCCCAAAGGAACCGCGCCTTGCACGTCCCGTGGGTCCTCTCCCGTGGGTCTTCTCCCGGGGTCTCCACAAGAACAGAACAATCGATAGTAAATACTTGGTCATCCTCGATACTACGCACCAGAAGTACACAAGCAAGAAGAAAT